CCCCCCCCCCCTCCTCAAATTAACCCCATTTACATCCCATCTACAGCATTTACACATCCCCAGAATGAGGGGAGGGGGCGAAATTTGGGGGTTCTCCCCCCCACTAAAAGGAATTTGGGGGGTGGTCCTGACCCCTCCCCCAGCATGAATTTGGGGAGGGGTCTCACCTCATTCCCCCCCCCCCCTCAATTTACAGCATTTACAGACTTCTTTTTTTTGTCGTTTTTTTTTGAGGGGTTTTCCCCCCTTTCCTGCCCCAATTTTGGGCTGATCCAACCCAATTTTGGGGACCCCTCCCCTCTAATTGTAAGCCCCCCCCTCTAATTTTAAGCCCCTCCCTCTAATTTTAAGCCCCTCCCCCAATTTTAAGCCCCTCCCCCGTAATAAATAAATTAAATAAATAAATCCCAGGCTGGACTAAACCAACCCGAAATGGGGGGGGGGGGGGAAAGGATTTTGTGCTTTGTCCCTTTTTTTGACCCCCCCCTCCCCCAATCCTTCTGAGCATCCCAGGGGTGTTTCCGGATGCTTCCAGACGTTTCTGGGCTGGTCCAGGTGTTGTCCAGGTGTTGTCCAGGTGTTTTCCAGGTGTTGTTTTGGGGATCAGTTCCCCCCTCTGGCCGTGAGGGGCGCTGCAGGCCCCGCCCCCAACCAGCGGAAGAGCGGCCCCCAGAACAGGCCCCGGGCGCGGCGCTGAGGGAAGAGCGTTAATTAGTTAATTAACAGCGGGTAATTAACGCCGGCGACACCAATTCCGGCACCTCCCACACCCCAACAGTCAGCTCTGGGAATTGGGGGGGGGAAAAATGGGATTTTGGGGGGTTTTTCCAGGTTAAAAAAAAAAGGGTGTTTGGGTTAATTTTTGGTGTTTTTTTTTTTTTTTTGTGAATTTTTTTTGGGGTTTTTTTTCTGGATTTTGGGGATTTTTCCTTAAATTTTGGGTGTTTTTTGTGAATTTTTGGGATCTTAAGCTTTTTGGGGTTTTTCCTTAAATTTTGGGTGTTTCTAGTGGTTTTTTGAGGGAATTTTTTCTGGATTTTGGGGTTTTTTCCTTAAATTTGGGGGTTTTAAGTGAATTTTTTGGGAATTTCCTCTGGATTTGGGGGGTTTTTCCTTAAATTTTGGGTGTGTTTTGTGATTCTTTGGGATCTTATTAAAGTTTTTGGGAGTTTTTCCTTAAATTTTGGGGATTTTTTTTGTGATTTTTTTGGGGGGGAATTTCCTCTGGATTTTAGGGATTTTTAGTGAATTTTTGGGAATTTCCTCTGGATTTTGAGGGGTTTTTCCTTAAATTTTGGGGATTTTTCCTCAAATTCCAGCCCTGGTAGTGGGGGTTGGAAAAATGGGGGGAAAAATTGGGATTTTGGGGATTATTCCAGGTTAAAAAATGGGTGTTTTGGTTAATTTTGGGGGTTTTTTTGTGAATTTTTTTGGGTGTTATTTAAATTTTGGGGGGTTTTTCTTTAAATCTTGGGGATTTCTTGTAATTTTTTGGGACTTTCCTCTGGATTTTGGGATTTATCCTTAAATTTTGGGGTTTTTTTTGTGGATTTTTGGGAGTTTTTTCTGGATTTTAGGGGTTTTTCCCTTAAATTTTTGGGGTTTTTTGGTGAATTTTCTGGGAATTTTCTCGGATTTTGGGGGTTTGTCCTTAAATTTTGGGGTTTTCCTGAAATTCCAGCCTCTCCCACCCCTCAAAATCCAGCCCTGGTAGTGGGGGTTGGAAAAATGAGGGGAAAAAATGGGATTTTGGGTTATTCCAGGTAAAAAAATGGGTGTTTTGGTTAATTTTGGGGGGTTTTTAGTGATTTTTTTGGGAATTTCCTCTGGATTTTGGGATTTATCCTTAAATTTTGGGGATTTTTCCTTAAATTCCATCCCTGGTAGTGGGGGTTGGAAAAATGGGGGGAAAAATTGGGATTTTGGGGATTATTCCAGGTTAAAAAATGGGTGTTTTGGTTAATTTTGGGGTTTTTTTGTGAATTTTTTGGGAGTTTTTTCTGGATTTTGGGGATTTTTTCCTTAAATTTTGGGTGTTTTTAGTGAATTTTGGGTTTTTCCCGTCAATTTTGGGAGCCCCCAACCCAAAAAAAAAGCCGGAGAACACCTGGAGCGACACCTGGAATGGGCCGGGGGTGGGAATTTGGGGGAAAAAAACCCCTCAAATTCCATCTTTCGCCCCCAAAATTCCACTTTTCCCGCCAAATTCCAGCTTTTCCCGCCAAAAATTCCACTGTTCCCGCCAAAATTCCAACTTCCCTCTCCAAAATTCCAACTTTTCCCCTCAAAATTCAACTTTTTCTTCCCAAAAATTCCAACTTTTCCCCCCAAAAATCCACTCTTCCCTCTCAAAATTCCACTTCTCCCCCACAAAAATTCACTTTTCCTCCCCCAAAATTCCAACTTTTCCCCCCAAAATTCCCCGTTTTTTTTCCCAAAATTCCACCTTTCCTCCCCAAAATTTCACTTTTTCCCCCCAAAATTCCAATTTTCCCCCCAAAATTCCAACTTTCCCCCCAAAATTCCAACTTTCCCCCCCCAAAATTCCCTCTTTTTGCCCCCAAATTCCAACTTTTTCCCCCAAAATTCCACTTAAATTTTGGGATATTTCCCAAGCCCCCTCCCCAAATTTCCCTGTTGAATTCCAGGATCTTTCCCAGCCCCCTCCCCAAATTTCCCGGTTTAATTCCAGGATCTT